GAGCAAGTACAAAGTCCCTAAGGCAAGAATGTGCCTGGTGTGCTTGAAGAATACCAAAGCAGTTGACCTGGCCCTGTAGGTGATTTTCAAAATGTGGTTCCTCCCCTAGAGCAGCAGTAGTAGCATCACCTGAGAACTTATTAGAAATTAAGTCTCAGGCCCACCCCAGACTTATTGAATCAGAAACTGTGAAGGTAAGGCTCACAGGCTGTGTTTTAACAAGACTTCCAGGTGATTCTGGACTACAGTTAGGGATAAAATGATAGGTGATGAGCAAGGGACAGACCACGCAGGAGCTTTATGGGTTACTGTAAAGACTTTGACTTTTATTCTGAGTGAAAATTTTTGAGCACAGGAGTAACATGATCTAACATATTTTTAAATCATCATTCTGACTGCTGTATAAGGTAATAGACTATATGGGAGCAAGGACAAGTGCAGGAAGACAAACTAGATTACTACTACGGCAATCCAAGTGAAGAATGATGGTAGTGTCTTATACATGAAGAAACCAGGACACAGAGGTTAATTACTTGCCAAAGGCCACACAGCTCAGAGGCAACGGCAGGATTTGAACCTTAAGCAATCTGGCTCCACTCTCATCTACTACACTAATTGCCTCTAATTACCATTAGGAGTACTGAAGATGGGCCAAGAAAGGGAATGAGTCCACATTCTCCAATGGAACAGAGAACCAGAACCTAGACATTCTTCAAATAAGTCTGATCTGTGCTGCAAAAGGAGCCTGTGGGGTTTCTTGGCCTAGAACTCCGGTGTATATGTGCAGCACTTGGAAACATCTCATGCAGCTGTCACATTCCACACCCATCCCCCAATTCCCTGTGCTCTACTTACTGAGCCACTGTGTCCTAGGAGATGGAGAAACCCTGTCCTTGCCTTTGGGAAAATAGCATCAGACCATGTGTTCTGGCTAGTTTCCTTTTCAATACTGTATTGAGGTTAAAGTCACTGGGCAGGAATTGAGGTTATGGAAATATTCAATATTAATTTAATTGTGAAATGACTATTACACAAAGTTCTGGATAAATGTGGCTGTATGGTATTTTCGATCATTTGCATTTCCTAGTCCAGTGTAAATAACAGAGATATGGGACCAGGAAAGTATAAGAAAACCACTGCCAGAGAACAGGGCTGACTTACTGGAAACAGTTACTCTGATCTAGTTCTGGGGTAGGAGGCCTCCTCTCAAAAAGACTGTCATGTCAATTTCTCTATTTCTTCCTTATCTCGCCCTCTTCCAACACATCTCTGCCTGGCTCTTTCTGCTTCCTAGGAGTTTGCTTCTAAGTTGCTGCAGTCTCTACACTGAGACATCTTCCCACCTGAAAAGAAGCCTTTATTCTAATAAACCGAATCATTATCCTCACTACAGACTTGACACTCATTTTAAGAGAGTTGCCTTTATATGGATTTTTTTTTTTTTTTGAAGGATGAAAATGTGAGATTTCCTTAACGTTTTCCGAAGGGAAGCTGAGTTGCTTCATTAGAAAACATTTCCAACAAATAATGCTTAATGAAAGAAGGTCCTTGAGACCAGTTGTCCTTCACAATTAAGAATAATTTTTACCATTAAATATATGTATACATGTTTCAAGGAAACATGTTTAAAATGAAAATGTACTTGTATTAACCTGGCATGTGTCGTAACTTATCTTCAATAGTAAGTAAACCAGGCCACAGAACTTTTAGAAATGATGTGTGGCAGAAAGTGGGGAAAATTAATGTGTCCTACCTCTGTTTCTAGGATACCATAAAAGTCCATCATTCAGTGACTTTATTACTTACTTCAAGAATGACATAACATATATAAACTACCTCTGGAGAAACCCTGTGCATGAGGAAAGGCTTTTTTACTCCAACATTGACTAGTATTAAAGAAGAGTATAAAAACGATTTCCCCATCGGGAGTTTGAGGCTTATTTTTTAAAAGTTATTCATAATTACTCAAAAGAAGCCGATTGAAGACCCAGGTAATTTGTGTAACAACATGTTTTGATCAAAGAGCTTGTCCCTTAGTTCTAGTTGTGACTCTTAACTCCGGTGGCAGTTCTGCTCCCACCGGAACTCTCCTAACTAACTCCCAGACGCTTTCCCTCCTGTCTGTGCCTACAACTTTCTCTCACTTCTTGGATTCTTGCTCTTGTTTTTGTCTGCCCTGCCACCATCCAAAATCCACCCTAACTTTCAGACTCAGCTAAAATTCTACCTCCTCTTTAGATTGAACACTCTAAACTCCTTTAGCAGGTTATTCTCTACTGTAATTATTGGAGCTGTCAAGAGCCATCTTAGTCATCCTCATAGTTCCCTGACCTCTCAGTTCCTTCCCCTCTGCTCTCATCTCCAATCCTCAGCCACCGCTCCATTCTTATATTTTAGATCATTTTTATTTTAACTTGGAAATTTAGAAATTGTGGAAGAAAATAAATTATATCGGTGGCTTTCAAAGTAGACTATATCAGTAGCTTTCAAGCTTTCCTTTTTCAGAAAAAAATTATATACAGAATCCAGTATGTGAACAAGAAAAATTCAGTATATAAAACATAAATTTGAAGTTCTTGTGTTTTAAGTAGACAGAGCTTTGCTTTTTTGACTTCCCCAACTTCAGAAAGAAACTGAAAGCAAAAACACTGCTGAGGCATGTCTAAGAATCACCTGTGAGAACCCCTCCTTTTACACCTTTCTGCTTTGACCTATGGAGCCAACAATTTTCTAACTCTAGGCTAGCAATCAACTTACAGGTTAGTGTTTAGGAAATGTGAGAAGACCTCTGAAGATTGAAGCAGTAAAATTGAAGGTGTGAAGTATTCAAGAAACAAACTTACTTATAAGGATGATGATCAGTAGTCTGACAATTCCAAAGGCAGGAATCATTTCTCGAAAATTCTTGCAAAGATATAAATAATAATAAGACAAACTATTGGCAAATGAAACCTCTTCATCTGCTTTTTCATTTAAAATAAAGTTTGAGTGTCAAATATTTGCAAAAAACAAAGCATTGGTGAAACAGCCCAGTTTTCAAAAGTATTTGGGAAGTACAACACTGGTGCACTTTGGAGAACAAAATGAAACATGGTATTTAATTCTATGATACAAACTAGGCATAATTTTATTATCAGGAAATAATCTAAATATAAGTAATATAAAATCAACACTTAATATGTGATAGATGATAGATAGATAGATAGATAGGCAGGCAGATAGATGCTGTCAAACAAGTCTGATGAACTATTTCCAAGTTTTTTTGGTTGAAATTCATTTGACACTTCTTTTTCCTCTTTCCAGGCAGGAGTTAAGAAAGACTTAACTAAAATTTGAGTATTACCTTAATTTTTGAGATAATTTGAAAAAAACTTGTAAACGTTGGTCAAAAAAAAACAGTTTGATTTTAGGTTTGAAAAATCTCAGCCCAGCTTGCAGTACCCTTGCAGTGCTACAAGAGAGCTGATCAGAAAGACATTTCACTTCCATTTACTGAGTTACTTCTCTCTTCCCTTTCAAGTTATTAACTCTCTTTCCAAGTAGTAAAGATGCAAGGATAGCTGTTTATTCTAAATCAATTATTTTCAAACTGTTGTGACCATGACCTACAGTAAGAAATAATTTACATAATCCAGTACACGCATAAATCAAATAGTACTTTTATTACACATGGTGCATACGGAAATATTTTTCATATTTTTCTTTTTGTTTAATTTTTCACAACAGTTAAATTGAGTTCAAACAACTAATGGATTTTAATCCAAAGTTTGAAAAACATTTTTCTAAATGACTTCTATTTTTGAAACAGTTTTATAATTGCCTCATATTTTTCCTCCTACAGTATTTTTAAAGTATAAATATAAATAAAATATAAATACTCTTTATTTTAAAGTATACCTGCATGGTTAAAGACTTAACTATCCAGGATTTTAGCCTGTTTTAAAAAGTAGTTGGCATTCTCGCATACTATATCATGGGAGTGTAAAATAGTATGTAAACTTTGGAGGGCGATTTGGCTTTAAAATCCACTTCTAGGAGTTTATCCTACAAAAAAATTACACAAATGCGAAAAGGTAAATGTAAAAGAACATTCTTTACATCATTATTTGTAAATGTGAAAAGCTAGAATCACCTCACATTGTTTTACAATGAAAGATTAAGTCAAGATACAGCTCGATAGAGGATGCTATGAAACACTTGAAAAGATTGAGGTGGATTTCTGTGTACTGATGTGGGTAAGTGGTTAGAATATTATTCAGTGTTAAGATACAGAACAATGTAAGTGTGGTTCCATTTTTGCAGTATTGATAAGATTTGAATACATATTTTTTTAAAAAGGTCTGAAAGTATATATATCAAACTTAACAAATATTGTATTGGGGATTTTGACTTTCTATTTTTCAATTTAAAATTTTATTTAGTATTCATTACTTTTGAGATCAGGGGAAAAAATAAAGATAAAATACAAAAGAAAAACTCTGGTGGTCAAGAGGAAGATGAATTCTCAGTAAATATTGATAAATGAAGATTCCCCAAACCAAATACCAGTTACTGTTTTGTTTGTTTGTTTGTTTGTTTTATAAAAAAGGTCTATAGATTTCATTCCCAAAGTTCTTACCACTAGGACATTCATAAAATAGCCTCCCATCAGAGCATAGACTCCTCCTGAAGCACCCACAAGATATTTGAGTGGGTCAAAGATGGAGCTGGCAAGGGATCCTAAAGAAATAAAACAAAAAGGATCAAATATGACTATAAGAATCATGAGAGATAAATCTTTTTAATCTAAGGTAAAAGTTTGGGTAACAAGCAACATATTCACTTTGTCCCTTCCATACTATAAACATATAGCTATGTGGGCTAATTACCTTAATTTTTCCAAAACATTAAATGTTCAATATGAAGACAGTATAATAGTGATAAAACTACAGACTCTGGAGCCAGAATTACCAGAATTACCAGCTGTGTGATTTGAGCAAGTCTTAACTGCTCTGTGCTTGAGTTTCTCTACCGTCAAAATATTGATTTAATAGAATTTACCTCAGTAAGTTATCAGGGGAAGCTGATATGTGCATGATGTTTAGAACACTGCCTGACAGGTTTTATATACTTGTTAGCTATTGTTTCAGAGTAGCCCATTGTTTAGCCAAAACTACTGAAATATCATAGACATGCCAACATTTTATTATCTAATGGCTAACTTTCTCATAAAGTCTAGACGTGGCCTCAGAATCTTTCTCAACATACCATTCAATCAGATTCACCAAGCAAGATGAAACCTATTTGGTAACTCAATCTTAGATTGCCTGAACCAAAACGGCTTTAGAACCACCTTGTGCAAACTCTGAGGTGTTCTCTCTATACTGCTTAGCTCTATTACTTAGTCTCTTGCTTTCAAGGCCCTCCTTCATTCCATAGGAATGGTATAATACCTACTTTGTGCAGGAAAGACAAAGTGTCTGACCTTAGGAATCTTACAAATGGATGAGCAAACAATTTTAAAATGCAGGATATAACAATTCTAATTTTTAAAAAGTAGCAAATTTGCCATGGAAGCACCTAGGAAGGAATGACTTTCACAGCAGAGAGGATGGAGGCCCTGATACTCAGAAGAAGGAAATATCTTTTTGATTAGACTGAAGAATCTTTAACATTTAGACATTGAAAACAAAGAGAAAGAAGATATTTAGGACTTAGGGATCTGGAATAGCAAAGACATAGAAATGAAGGTATATGGATGACTGAAGATCAGTGAGTAGTAGTTCAATAGGGTTAGAGCAGTGGTTCTCAAATGTTAAACTACAGACTAGGGTTGAGGTGGTTGCATCTTAATCAAATGAGAAATTTATTTTTAGACTACAAATACAAATGTCCACTCTGACCATGATGGAGTTCCAAGGATTAGATTTACCCTCTCACCTGGAATAGCTAAAAGCACAGGACAAAATATATAAAACAATAGTCCAAGATACTGGACATCAGATAACAAAAGACAATGAACCCTAAGAGACAAAAATAAATGAGATGAGTTATCTGATTTCCCAGTTTCCTGCCTTGAAAGAGGTTACAGGGCTGCAGTGCATGAAGGGAGAACCTGGATAGATCTCAGTAAGTTGATGAAATAGAGTTTAGAGTCCAGAAAGATCTAGACAGCTAGAGTTTGAAAGACAACACCAGAGAGGACAGAGCTGCATAGAGAACTCTAGAGAAGATCATGTGAGGAAATTATCTGAGCCAAGAAAGGAACCACCAGAAAGGAGTTGAGAGGAAAGTACCTCCTGCTCACACTACACCAGAGAGGCTAAGCAACTTTCCAAACTAGAAACATCATAATTTATGGGGCATTGAGTAAAGTATGCAGGAGGGTCCTACACCAGCAGTGGGGAATACTTAGCACTAAACATGACTCAAAACATAGTTTCAACTAGCAAATCTTACCAGAAAGGGTCAAACTGGCTTCCAAGTAACTGAGTTACAGAACAAATCTAAGAAATATTTATAGGAATACAGTAATATTCACCATCCAAAGTTAAAATGTCTAACATCCAAACAAAAATTGGTAGATATTCAGAGAAGCAGGAAAATATGACCCATAGTGAAGAGAAAAAATCAATTAAAACCTACCAAAACTGACACAGCTGTTAGATTTAGCAGATTAGGGCAATAAATAATTATTACAACTATATTCTATATGTTCAAACGTTAAGTAGAGACATATAAGATATAAAACAGACTCAAACTTCTAAAGATGAAAACGACAATGTCTAAGATAAAAAAATAAACTTGTTGGGATTTTGGCAGATTGGACATTGCAGAAGAAAAGATAAGTGAACATGAAGACATAGCAAACTATCCAAAATGAAACACACAAAGAATATTTTTTAAAATACATATAGTATCATTGAGTTGTGGGTCAATTTCAAGCAGCCTAAAAAATACATAATTGGATTCCCCAAAAAAGAAGAGAGAAGGCAAGTACAGAAAAAATGTTTGAAGAAATTATGGCCAAATTTTCCACAGTTTTATGAAAATTATAAACCCACAGATCCAAGCAGCTCAACCAACCCCAAGCACAAGACACATGAAGAAAACCACATCAAGGCACAATAAAATCACACAGCTCAAAACAGGGAAAATCTTTAAAAAATAGCCATAGTAAAAAGACAAAGATGCTAAATGATTTCTCACTGAAAACGAAGCAAATGAGAAAACAATAGAGCAAAATCTTCTCAACAAACGATGCTGGAACAATTAGATATCCACATGCAAAAAAGCATCCCTTCAATATACCTCATACTGTGTATAAAAAGGGATCACAGACCTATATGTAAAGCCTAAAATTATAAAACTTCTAGAACAAAACATAGGAGAATCTCTGCGACCTTGAGCTAGGCAAAATTTCCTAGCTATGACACTAAAAGCACAATTTCTAAAATTTAAAAACTGATAAATTAATCAAAATTTAAAACTTCTAGTCTTCCAAAGATACTATTAAGAGAGTGAAAAGATAATAGATTAGGAGAAAATATTTGCAAGTCATATATCTGATAACAGACTTGTAATCAGAATATATAATATATATAATAAGGAATATAATCCAATTTTAAATGGGCAAAAGATTTAAATATACTTTAACAAAGAAGATATACGGATAGCAAATGAGCACATAAAAAGATATTCACTATCATTAATTATTAGGAAATGCAAATTAAAACTCAATAAGATATCATTATACACCCAATAGATTGGCTAAAATTCAAAAGATTGATGATACCAAGTGTTGTTAAGGATGTGAAGAAACTACAACTTTTGGTGATGTAAAATGGTAGCACTTTGTACCATATGAACTAACAATTCCACTCGTAGTTATATACCCAAAAGATCCACCCAAAAATTTGTATACAAATGTTCGTATTAGTATTATTTATAATAGCCAAAAAGTGAAAACAACCAAATTTCCATCAGTTGATGAATGGATAAAGAAAATGTGGTATATTCATACAATGGAATATTGTCCAGTAATAAAAAGGAATGAAGCACTGATATGTGCAACAACATGGATAAATGATAACATTATGCTAAGTAAAAAAGACCACATATTATCTGATTCCATTTGTGTGAAATGTCCAGAATGGGCAAATCTAAAAGGACAGAAAGTAAATTAGTGGTTGCCTAAGGCCAGAGAAGGGTTGTAGGGGGAGCAATCGGAAGTGACTCTAATGGGTATAGGGTTTCTTTGAAGGACAAAATTGTTCCAAAATTAGGTTATGATGATGGGTGCATAACCCTGTGAATTAACCCAAAAAAAACCAACACATTTAATTATACGCTTTATCTTTTAATTATACACTTTAAATGAGTGAATTGTATGATGAATTATATCTCAGTAAAGCTATTTAAAAAGTTTGCAAGTTTCTTAAAAATTAAGCGCACCCTATGACAGGATCCAGCCATTCCATTTCTAAGTATTTACCCAAGAGAAATTAATGTATTTATCCACACAAAGTCTTATACACACATGTTCATAGTAGCTTCATTTGCATTAGCCCCAAACTGGAAACAATCCAAATGTCCGTCATCAGAAGATTGGGTAAGCAAATTGTGGTACATCCATACAATGAAATGCTACTTAGCAATAAAAAGGAATCAACTATTGATATACACAACATGAATAAATCTCAAAATTATTATGCTGAGTGGCAGAAGCCAGATGAAAATAAATACTTTATGCTTCCATTTATATAAAATTATAGAAAATGCAAATTAATTTATAATGATCAGTGGTTACCAGGCAAAAGTGGACAGGATGGAGGGAGCACTGATACATTTATTGTCTTGATCGTGATGATAGTTTTTATATACACATATCAAAACATCAAATTGTACACTTTAAATGTGTACAGTTTATTATTTGTCAATTACACCTCACTAAACAGAAAAACAAAAAACTCAGATTCCAAGGCCATATCACCAGAGATTCTGATTCAGTAGATCTGGGTGGGATCTGGATAGCATCAGCTGTAACAAGCTCTCCAGTTGATTCTGATGATCAGTCAGATTGGGGTCCCTGGGCCGAATTGCTTCTCAAGCACCTATACGTTTGTTTAACTGCAGATTCTCATTAATAGGTCTGGTTTGGGGTCCGACATTCTGCATTTTAACAAGCTCCCAGGTGATGTGAATGCTGCTGATCCATGGACCACACTTTGCCAGAAGCAAGAGTAGGGAAACTAGAATTATGTTACCTATGAAGGAATCTAGTAAAAAAGCAAACCAAGAAAGACGATGGGCAAGAGGAAACTTTTTGAGGAGATGGATTTATTTACGGCGGAGATTGTGGTGATGATTTCATGGGTGTATACTTACCTCCAAACTCATGTAGTTGTATACATTAAATATGTACAGATTTTTATATGTCAATCATACCTCAAAAAAAAAAGATTTTTAAAAAAGGACATTTTACATCAAATCTTCCCCTAACCTCTTCATGTATAATTTCTTTTTCAGACATTAGTAAAGAACTTCATTCTTCCATAAAGAGAGAAAGAGAGAGAGAGAGAAAGAGAGAGAGAGGAGTAAGGCAATGGAACCAGGCAGTGAAAGGTAATAAAGAGCAATCTTGGACGTTTTGATTTTCTTTTGGCCTCTGTAAATGTTCTGGGAAGGGTATAATATGATCTGATCTGTGTTTGAGGAAGGTGACCCAGGCAGCAGTGTAAAGTATATACCATAATATCAAAGAGATACCCGCCAAGAAGCTATTGCAAAAATAGGCAAGGATCTGAACAGGTTATTCATGTTCTCCCTTCTCTGAAACTGGGGCAGAGCTGATTCCACAGGTTGAAAACATGCTGTGGAGGAAACACAAAAGGCTTTCAAGGTCAGGAAAAAAGGTGTATGCAGGAACAGAACTAGAAGGTGAATAAACAGGACCCACAAAAGTAGGAGGAGAGTAGGATGGGGAGCTGTCTGTCGCTAAGTCTTGCCAATTCTGTCTCATAGCTGCTTCCCACTCTCCATCCCCACTGCTCTAGGAGGCTGACAAAGTTTTGATTGGTAAAAAAATTGTAAGCACCGCTATGGGTGGACTGTGCCCCAACCCCCAAAAGACATGTTGAAGTCCTAACTCCCTGTAGCATCTCAGAATGTGACCTTATTTAGAAATAGAACTCTTACAGATGAGATTAGTTACAATAAACTCATACTGGAGTATAGTGGGCCCCTAAACCAATATGTCTATGTCCTTATAAGAATAGGAGAGAGGGACACACAAAGAGAGAACACCATGTGACATTGGAGGCAGAGATTGAAGTGCTATGTCTGCAGGCCAAGGAATATCAAGGACAGATGGCCATCGCTGGAAGCTAGGGAGAGAGAGGCAAGGGATCAGAGGAAAGAGCATGATTCTGCTGACACCTTGATTTCAGACTTTTGGCTTCTAGAGCTGTAAGACAATGTAGTTCTGTCGTTTTAAGCCATCCAGTTTGTGGTGCTTTGTGATGGCAGCCGTAGGAAACTAGTATAACCATCCACAACAATATAGGTATGTTTACTGACTTATAAATTACACGTATGTGTGCTACTGCACTAATTTGTTTTTTGAAAACACAAAAATCGAATTTTAAAGGATGGGACATATAAATTACACAATATTTTGTATTGCATAATTAATTAATGAAGTAAAAAACTATTTTTTTTAAGTTTTTTCATTAAAAAAAAAAAAGCCTTAAAGCCATGAAAAGACATGGGGAAACTAAAACATATTACTAGGTGAGGGAAGCCAATATGAAAGGGTTACATGCTCTATGATTCCAACTACATGACATGCTGGAAAAGGCAAAACTATGGAGACAGTAAACAAATCAATGGTTGCCAGGGCTTAGGGGTTGGGGGAAGAATAAATAGGTGGAGCACAGAGGATTTTAAGAGTAGTGAAAATACTCTATGATACCATGATGATACATGTCATTACACATTTGCCCAAAACCGTAGAATATACACAACCAAGAGTGAACCCTGTGTTTTATGGACTTGAGTGATTATGATGTGTCAATGTAGGTTTATCAGTTGTAAGAAATGTACCACTCTGTTGGGGGCTGTTGATAATGGAGGAAGCTGTGCATGTGTAGGGATAGAGGTGTTTAGAAAATCTCTGTATCTTCCTCCCAGTTTTGCTGTGAACCTAAAACTGCTCTAAAAAATAATCTTTAATTTTAAAAAAATCTTTCAATGAGCAGTGTTATTAAATAAGCATCCTATTTTTTAAAAAATCCTGGTTAAATATCATGACACAGAAATACAGATACAATAGTCCCCCCTTATCTGTGGTTTCACTTTCCCGTTTCAGTTACCCTTAGTCAGCCGCAGTCCAAAAATATTCATTCGAAATTCCAGAAATAATTCATAAGTTTTAAATTGAGTGCCATTGTATCATGATAAAATCTCACATCATCCTGCTCCATCCAGCCCAGGATGTGAATCATCCCTTTGTCCAGCATATCCACACTGTACATATAATACAATAAGATATTTTGAGAGACCACATTTACATAACTTTTATTACAGTGCATTGTTATAATTGTTCCATTACATTATTAGTTATTGTTATTAATCTTTTACTGTGCCTAATTTATAAATTAAACTTTATCATAGATATGTATGTATAGGGAAAAACAGTATATAGAGAGTTTGGTACTATCTGTGGTTTCTGGCATGCACTGGGGGCCTTGGAAGCTACCCTTAGCAGATAGGGGGGACTACTGTATACTTCTAAATTCAGTTACTTTCCTATAGAAATTTTTTCTGAATCACTGTCATAGCCAAAATATAAAACTTTTTAAATGATGTATAATTTAAAATGGAAGAACTACATCGTTGGCTGTGCTTATTCCAATTATGCAAAAATTTTGCTGTAATTTGGCTATTAATTCCCACCTTTCCTTATGTCAGTCATTGATTCTTGCAAGCTAATCAGAAAGAGTTGCAATACATAAATTTAAAACTCTTCACTGAGAAATTTTAAAACAGATTAGGAAATTGTTTCCCAGCTCTTAAAGTGAGAACTTGTAAGAGTTATTGCATCATTTTCAGAAGCAAAATCACATAAAAATGGAATGATTTCCAAAGACCAGTTTTCAAAATGTCCTTTTCATAGCATAAATATTTTTGGAAAAGCAGTTGCATTCTTATTCTTTAAGAGAAAATAACATTATGTCCTCAAAAGGACATATTTTGTGTTTGTTTTTTAACATCTGTTAGATAGCTTACTTCTGAAACCCTTTTGTCATCCCAGAAAAAAGCCAGTAAATCAGATAGCCATCTTTTTGTAAAAAAAAAAAAAAAAAGGAAAAATGCAAAAACTAATCTCCAAAATGAGCAGAAAAATGAGAGGAATTACTCTAACTGATTTCAAGACTTATTATGTAGCTGCAGTGGTATCGACTATGTGGTATTAGTGGAGAGATAGATATATCAATCAATGGAACAAAAAAGAGAATCCAGAAATAGTCTCATACAATTACCGCCAACTGATTTTTGACAAAGGTGCAAAAGTAATTCAATGTAGGAAGAATAGTCTTTTCAACAGATTGTTCTGAAGTAATTGGATTTCCGTAGGCAAATAAACAAACATAAAGAACTTCAATCTAAACTTCACACCTTATATAAAAATTAACCAACTCAAATAGATCACATATTTAAATGTAAAACATTAAACTTTTTTAGAAGGTAACAGAGGAGAAAATGACACCAAAAGCATGATTTATAAAAGGAAAATTGATAATTAAACTTCATCAAAATTAAAAAATTTTGCTCCGTGAAAGACCCTGTTAATGATAAGACAAAGTACAGATTGAGAGAAAGTATCTGCAAACTACATATTTGGTAAAGGACTAGGATCTAAAATATATAAAGAACTCTCAAAATTCAACAGTAAAAGAAAATAATTAGAAAATGGGCAAAAGACATGAACAGACATTTCGCTGAAGAAGAGATACAGATGGCAAATAAGCACATGCAAAGATGTTCAACATCACTAGCCATTAGAGAAATGCTAATTAAGACAGTGATAAGATATCATTTCCCACTTATGAGCAAATCTAAAATGAAAAACAGTGGCAACACCAAATGCTGATAAAGATGTGGAAAACTGAATCACTTATACAATAGTAGGAGGAATGTAAAATGGACCAGCCATTTTGGAAAAGACTTTGGATGGTTCTTATAAAACTAAATATGCAACTATCATGCAACCCAGCAACTGTGTTCTTGGACAGTTATGTTAGAGAAATGAAAACTTGTGTTCACAAAACTCTGTACCGATGTTCACAAAAACCTGTACACAAATGTTTACAGCGGCTTTATTTGCAATAGCCAAAAACTGGAAACAACCCAGATATCCTCCAATGAGCAAAGGGTTAGATAAATGGTGGTATATTCATACCATGGAATACTACTCAGCAATAAAAATGAAGTATTGATACATGCAACAACCTAGATAATTAATCTCCAGAGAATTATACAGAATGAAGAAAGCCAATCCCAAAAAGCTATATACTGTATTATTCCATTTATATAACATTCTTGAAGTGAGAAACTTATAGAAATAGAGACCAGATTAGTGGTTGCCCGGGGTAAAGGAGGGTTTGGGGGTGAGAGGGAAGAGGGCATAGCTTGTGGTGTTGGAAATGTGTTGTGTCTTGACTGTATCAATGTGGATATCCTGGTCGTGGTACCGTACTATAATTTTGCAAGCTGTTACCATCGTGGGGTTTGGATAAAGGGTACATGGTACCTCTAGGTATTTACTTCTTACAACTGCAGTGTAAATCTATAATTGCCTCAAAATAAAACATTTAACTTTAAAAAATGTTTCAAATAAATAAATAAATACATACATACATACATAAATACATAAATAAATACATGCATACATACATACATAGCTTTGGGAAAAACTGGATTGCATCTTATACACGTTTCTCTGCATCTTAATTTTTCTTACTTGCCAGTCGTTAATAGAAATCCCATCAAGTTAACTGCTATTGCTAAAATTTATTTCAGTGACTGCTCCGTTAAGAATGTAGATGCACTAAAATGTATTCAATCTAATTCTACCAATAGGTATGACTTTTGTTTCTGATTTTTGCCCTTGCGAAACAATACTGTGATAAATACTTGTGCATCATTCCTCTTATTTCTATAGGATAGACTGAGTGAGATTCCTGGGTTGAAGGAATTTCTGGATTATCTCGCAGAGACTTCCGGATTCTAATGTCTTCATTTGAAAAA